TATTTGTACCATAATAAGAGTAGCCCACAAAACAATTCAAATTTTGAAAATAATTGAAAATGAAAAAAAAAAAGAATTTTTGCTTTAACTTGGAGCACTACGGCATTAGGCCCAGAGCACATTATTTTTTCAGTACTTGTAAATAATTAATTTTTTTTTGTGGAGTGAGAAAGAAAATTTTAGATTTTTGGTCTCTAGATCATTTCCTGTTTTTGCAAAAATTGTTCAAATCAAAGTACGTAATTTTAATCACATATCTGTTTTCAAATATTTTGATTTGTATCACTTACTTTACCTAAAAATTGATTTTACTTTTCTTTTTTGCTTTCTTGAACATTTGTAGCACAATTTTTTGTATGATATCGTACTAATTATTTTGAAGATTTTGACATTAACATATTTGAATTTCACCAAGTAAAATATAACTTATTAAATTTTATATGTATTGTTTACACTTTATAGAATTAAATATTTTTATTTAAGCATACTATTAATATAATAATTGAGAATGAAAATATATATGTAATTGAGTAATAGTTGGTCGCTATTACTTTTATTGTAATATGTGTAAAAGAAAAATAAAGAATGGTTGACTTGTTTGTTAAAAATTAATTGACATGTACATGACGGTAAGCTGATGTGCTTTCCTTTAAATACTATAGTTGTGTGTTATCTTTTACTAGTTCAAGTAATACAATAACACAATAATTGAGAGTTATAATTAGTTATTATTATTCCAAAAGGTAAAGAGTGATGACTCAGATCACTAAGTCAACAGTTACTGATTATTAATTACTGACTACTAAAAATTATTGTGATAGTCAGAACTATTATTGATATGGACATTGATACTATTTGATGTTACAACTTATTCACTATCAATGTTATATATTTACTATACTGATAATGAGCATGTGATATACTAAGCATGTGATATACTAAGCATACGATTAAAATTCTAATTTGATACTAATATAGAATAATTGGATAACATGTTTACATTATTATATAGTTTTACTTCATCGATACTATTCTGATTGTCTTTATCGATGCTTTGATTTTTTTTTTCATTTTATATTATTTTTTGCTGATTGATAATATTGATATGATGATTATTTTATTGGTTCGATACTCATACTAATTTATTGATTTTATCATTATACTACTTTGCTGGCTTCCATATCATACTATTTATATATTCTAGTACTACTACATATGAGCTTTATTATTTCTGTATAAATTCATGATCATATAATTGTTATTGTTATAATTTGATTATTAACATGCATATTTCTATTTTATTTTGCTTTTAGTTTAATTGTAGGAATTGGTTATTTGTTGGGCTCCTTAGTTCATTATATGCGATTAAATAATTTTATGCTAGGATAATGGAGCAAGAGTGTGAGATTGATTAGGATTTTTCAGGTTCAGGTTCTTGTTATTTTAGTTATTCTTTTGTACTTAGGGCATGATAGATATATTATAATTATATAGATCATGAGTAATGCACATGATTTTTGGAATTGATGAATATTAATGTGTATTTATGTTTTAATTATAGAATTTATTTTTGTTATTTATAACTGATAGATAAAATCAGATAGCTCTAATTGTTGAATATTGGGCACCAAATTCGGTATCTGAGAAGTTATTAAAAGAACTGATTGAATTATTATTAGAGCTGTAAGAATTAATTGAGTTGGATAAGTTTTAATTCATAATTTGATTTTAGTTATGATCGTACGGCTTTATTTCATATTGATTATTGTGCTTAAATCCTTAAAGAAAATATCAAAAATGACTATTTTTAAAGATAGGTAGATTGTAACAATTTGAATTTCTAAAAAAAATCTAAATTTATATTTTAACAGGAGCACTGTGGCATTAGTCCTAGAATATATTATTTTTTCAGTACTTGTAAATAATTACAATTACTTTTTTAGTGGAGAGAGAAAGGGAAATATAGATTTTTGGTCTTCATATCATTTGCTACTTTTAGAAAATATTATTCAAATCGAAGTAAGTGGTTCTATTTATATCTTTATTTTCAAAGATTTTAATTTTGACTGCTAACTTCTTACAAAACAAATTTTATTAAATTTTTTGGCTTTCTTAAACTTTTATCGCACAACTTTTTTATTCAATCATATTGATTATTTTGGATATTTTAATTGTAACATTTTTTAATTTCACAATGTAAAGTAGTAGTTATTAAATTTTATATGTATGATTTACACTAGATAAAAAATTGAGTATTTTTATTTAAGCATACTGTTAATATAATAATTAAAAATAAAAATATATATGTGATTATGTAGTAGCTGATCACTATTGCTTTTATTATAATGTGTGTAAAAGGTAAGTAAACACGTACGTACTGATTGATCCGTTGGTTGAAGATTGATTACATGTACAAGATGGTGGGTCAATGAGCTTTCAATTAAATATTATGATTGAGTGTTATCTTCTATTGATTCACGTGATATAATGTTATAATGATTGAGAGTTATAAGAAGTTATTACTATATTGATGGGAAAAGGGTGACAACTCTGTTTAGTGAGCCAATAGTTATTGATTATTGTTTGCCGACTACTAATAAATATTGTGATAGCCAGGACTTTTTATTTAAGTGTGACCACTAAAATGCATGTTACATATTCATTGTTACTATACGACTTTATTGATAATGTATTGATTTAATGTCACTATGTATATTTTATTGCTACTTCTTGGACTCTTGAGTTCATTATATGTTGTTAAATGATTTCAGGTCATGGTAAGGGTGCAAGAGTATGAGATTAATCAAAATCCTTCATATTCATATTGTATTTTAGTTATTTATTATGTGCTCAAAATATGATAGATATGTTATGCTTGTATAAATCTTGAGTAGTGTAATAATTTTTAGGTTAGCGAATATATATATGTGTGTGTGTGTGTGTGTGTGTTGATATTTTAAATTATAGAATATGGGGTCAATGATTTAAGATTGTGCGTGTGGGATCCGTAGGGAGAAAATGAGATATGAAGGTAGGGATCGGGCTGTGTGGATGGTTGAGGCTTTTGAAGTAGAAGAAATGCAGGGAAGTGCAAGGTCATGAGATTGAAAATGATCGAATGGCATAGAAGGTTCAAACCGGGATGGGGCTCGGGCTATGGACTTCGACTTCGACTTGAGGCAAAGAGGAAATCAGATTGAAGAGGCCGATGGGGTATGTTTATTCGACACAGTAGTCGGAAGAATCAAAAGTTGGATGTGGAATTGGAAGCTAAGTGACGTTAACGGGAAGAGGGAAGCTCGTGACTATGAGGTGAGGTCGGATCGAGGAGGTGAAGCCGGATGGGTTGAGGTAGAGGTATAGGAGATGGAGACGGATAAGGCAGAGGAAACAGACTATCTGCGACTGTGAAGAGACGGAGATAGATCGAACTGGATGGTTTAGGGTTTAGAAGGAGGTGGGTTCGAGAGCATGGAAGAATAGAGGAACGAGAGGCATCACACATTGTTTTAATGATGAGGCAGAGAGATCGTGTGTAGTTCGTGCGAACGGAGTGAGCGTCGAGACGTATGCAGTGGGATACTTGATGTGCAGAGATTGTCGTTGGACGGCCAATAAGACGTCGATTTGATTTTGTTCTTCAATGAGTTTCTTGTCAAATTCGACCTATGAAATTGAGATCCTTATCATATTCGCCCTGATTGATTGAGATAATCAAATTCCATAAAGAACAAAGAGTACATGCATATGATGTCTGGATTGATGGGTGCTTATAGCGTTAAGTCCTCTGTCTTAACAAATTCTCCTCCTTTTGGAACCAGATTTTTTTTTTCGTTGTGGTTTTCTTTATTATTATTTTTTTCTTTTACATTTGGGCGAAATTTTTTCCTTAAACTTTTGTGCGAGATTATTTTCAATGTATTGTTTTTACACTTAAATTTTCTCATTAATTACATTGAGCGTGGGCTCTCAATATTCAAAAAAAAAAAAAAAATCTGTATCCTCATTAGCTCATCAAGTACATCTAACCCTACACAAGAATACCTTCACATGAAAGAGAAAAAAAAAATTACCTTATAAATGAAAAAATTTTGTAGTGGTTCTACCCAAGCTAGCTCCAGATCTCCCAGAAAATCACAGTAAGCTATGAACCCTAGGTTGAACAGCTTTCGCTGGTTGGATATCTAGGAGGCTCCAAAAAATGCATCAGATAGTAGAGTTGCAGAACTCCTCTGTTTTTGAAACAGCATAGGTTTCCCCTTACAGTCAACAAGAATCAAAGAGCCTCTTATAACTTTTGCCAAATAAATACTCTGAGATCCTGAATACATTAATACGTCATTAACTCTACGTTTAATATAAAAATCAAATGATCACCCAAAGATCTTAACTTGATGAGCTATCAAGTATTTGAAACCGAGCAATTAATTCTACATGTATGTCAGTTGCTCTTCTTGTTCAATGGCAGAAACCCCTCTCTCTCTCTCTCTCTCTATCTCTCTCAAGCTCGTCGATCTGTCGAAAAAATTACCGAAAAGTAGCAAAAAAAAAAAACAGAGAGGAACAAGAAAAAATTTCCGAAGTGATGAACATTATTAGATCAGGGAAGACGAGGCTATGAGCATTCCTTGTTGCCAAAAGAGAAACAAAAACCCTTCATTTTCATCTGTTTTTACGGCTAAAGGAGAGATTTTTATGTGAGCGAGCTCATGAGCTCACACCGGACAAAAAGAAAATAACATAAAAAAAATTAAAGATCACACCTTCCAATAAATCCTCAAAGTTTTAAAATTTAATTGTGGAGTATGGCGTTAATCATTCACAAATGATCCCATCTACTCATCTTGAGCTACTTATCTTCTTTTTCTTCCCCTCTGTGTCATTCTGCGGATCTTTTTTCTCTCTTCACAAACAAATCAACCAAACTTACCCAAAAAAAAGGGAAAAGAAATGGCGAAAAAACCAAGAAAATTTTCCAGCACGCTGCACAGTAAATCAGATGAGGAGCAAGTTATGTACTTTCCATTTTTTTCAACTCTTTACTTGAAGCATTTGCAGACCAGGGCTGAGAAGAGCAAATTTTTTTGCAAAATACTAGAAGAAAAGAGCAAACCCAGAGGAAAAAGAAAAGAAATTAAACACTATATACAAATGATTGCATCTATTTTATATTCTTATGCTTCTCTCTCACACTCTTTTTGTCTTGTCTCCGTATAAATTTTTGCAAGTTTGCTTCTTTCTCCTCTTTTAGGGGTAATCTCGCCAGCAAATAAGCATTGTGACGCAGCGGCGCATGATGTAGAATCGAGCGCGCTGCTCCTTGACGAGGTTGGAGCAACGCCTGGTGAAGGAAAGCGGACGTCCGGCGCCGGCGACAGCGCTGGCTCTGGCTTCCGGTAGGCTCGACGTTCTTTTTAGAAACGCTGTGGTCGTGCCAGCGGCCGAGGTATCTCGGCGGCTTGCGATGTTGCTGCTGCCCTTTTTTGAAAGCTTCCACTTTTCATCCATGTAAAGATCCATGTGTCGAAGATTCAGCTCTCTGCTTTCTCCTTCTTCTTCTTCTTCTTCGCCTCTTATTGGGCCGTTGGTTGCAGAAGTTATGCAGGGCTGTGGAGAGTTGGGGAGAGAGAGGGCGGCAGTTCTTGAGCTGGTAGACTGGAAGAAAGAGGAGTGAGGCTTAGGTGTCTGTCATACTATTTATAATAAAAATGTTAAGTTGGAATGAAGTAGATGCGATGCAAATAATGGAATTAAAAGTTTGAATTTGGGGCTGTTTAGTTCGTTATTAAGTAGTTAATCTGTGAATGTTAAATTAATAATCATTTTATAATATTCTTTTGATTACATTGAATATTAAATATATATATTTATTTAACTATTAAAAAAATTATATTAAACTAAAAGACAAAAATATGATCATAATTATTGATTTTTTAATGACCGGTGCTGTCTTCACATCAGCTGAAGGCAGTGTTGAATAAACAATTTTTTATTTTATTAACTTCTTAAAAAATGAGAAAATAACTTTCTAATTAATAGCTTTTAAAATACATAATTTTAGTAGCAGATAGATTAATTGATATAAAAAAATTAGTATGCTGCTTAATTAAATTATTTAAAAACATTTTCCCAGCAAGAATAAATGATCCCTAAGTTTAACATGATTCAATTGGCTGAAATGGTGATATGAAGAGAAAAATTACCTCTTCCTATTCTAAACAAAATAAGTATTGCTGCTTAATTACTGAAACTGTGGGTTTGGACCTAAGTATTGCTGCTTAATTACTGAAACTGTGGGTTTGGACCAGCACAACGTACTTAGGACTGCTTTAATCAGGCTTAATCAGTGAGTTATCACTAATGATTATGATTAGGCTCACTAATCACTTGGATTTCATTGATTATCTAAATTAAATATCTTGTCACTTCTCTTTCCTCGATAATGCTAACATTAATTAACATAGATACTCCTCCTCACGCAGAAGCCTTCTACGTTTGATTCCAATTTACGATGTTATAATTACTACTAAGGAAAAAAAAGGAACTCTTTACATGGAGGAAGAGCTGGAGATTAAACTTTCTATCAAATTTTATTTTCAATTTTTTTTAATTATATTCTATTTGAGTTTTTTTAAAAAAATCTGGTTTCTCTTTCTTCTTACAATGGATCACACCAAATCACATTAGTATGTTACCGCTCTGCTTTTAATAACGATTAATAAATTAGTGAAAAAATATAAATTATTCGGATTCAATTTTAATTAAAATAAATTTATTATTGATATGCCAAAAAAAATCATCTTACATAAATCTCAATGCAAATCTGAATTAAAATTTTTTAAAATTAAATTTGGGATCATTCAAACTCCAACTTTAGCAAGCTTATAGTCAAAGTGAAAATCTCGAGGAGACAAACCCGATGACACCAAATTCAGTCTAATCCGATGAGCTTACTTGAAAGCTTCAGAAATTTATTAGAGTTCAATGTGACGACCATCATTAACAATCACTTCCACCATTATATGAGCTTTAACATTTGACTATCAACATCTAACTTTTTACATTCCAACCCTATTACTAAACTTCAACTGCCCATTTATGAGCACACAAGTTCTATAATCCATACGTCAAGAATCAAATAATTGTTCTTAATTGCATAATCCAATCTTGCTCAATTATGGAGAAGTGTGGATTCATGTATGTATAGTTATTTAGTGCATTATTACAATTGAGTCAGCCCTTATCATTATTCCATTTCTTGAGTTTTGCACACCAAAGTTTTTTTTGGGCATCTTACAAATTATATTAAGATATAAAAATCTCTACTTGCTCAAATTTTTTAGCACTTAATAATTTAAAAAAAAATCTTAAATCAAGTCAATCTAAATCAAATTTAATCAAGATGACATTTCAATTATCATAATTATTTTAAAATAAATAAAACACATAACTTGTTAATACTCAATATGAATACATACTGTACTATTCTCAAACATATTAAAATTAAATAAAAGATATTTGAACAAAAAGTATTCCATAAGAAAATGAATTCAATAAAGAATCCGCATGTGGATTCGGCTCTGAATTCAATATATTTTGTGCAACACAGAACCAGTCGCAGAAATAAAAAAATAAAATAAACGGTCAAAGTGAATCTCGATTACAGAGGAGCGAAGATTCTCGCGATTCATGATCGAAACATGATTTCTTTGGAATTTGACTGTGACGACATTTTTTAGAATGTAGGGTCATGTGAAATTGCTATAATTATAATTTATACATTATTTACCATCTTTATTTTTCATTAAAATGAACCAAAACCCAAATGTCCAGATCCAATAAACCATTCAGACATTTAATAGATTTTGCAAAAATACAAAAAAAGTTCATAAAACGCAAAATCAACATTCCAAATCATAAATAAGCTAGAAATATAAGTTTGATTAAATTTTCTAACAATATTTTAACATTTTTTTATGATTAAAAGGCAATTAAAATTAAAATCTATATATGATCTTAGCACTGATCTTAAGCACTTCTAACCCCAAACCGTTCTCGAAATTGTTACTATGTTTGAGTAGAGGAAATTGGAGGCTTAGTGACCCAAAAAAAACATCTTAACTTTCATTTCTTCTGACAATACTAACTTTTTGCCCATCACAGAGTTTTTTTTTTTAAGGCAATGGCAGTAAGTAAAACGTGGTCCAAACCGTTTCCATAATATTGCTTGATGGAGAAATATTGTGATCTTTCTTTTGACAAATTCAAAATGCTAACTGCTACTTTAGAAGAAAACTAATAATGAAAGGAGCCATTTAAGATGAGAATTAGCCAGTGATCTAGAGAGTAGGATACAAGAGCCTGTAAGAAGACGAGGATAGCATTTCAAGCAAAGCAAAATTAATGAGAGCCGAGTAAGTTTGGCCTTGATATGACTATAGAGCTGATTACAAAACTAAGAATCAGAAAGGCTAATGCTGGGAAGATCCGTATGTTGTGCAATGAATAGAGGAAACAACAAAAATCACATAACCAAAATAAAGAACACGGTGATTTACGTGGTTCGGTAAAGATCCTACATTCACGGGAAGGGAATGATGATTTCACTATATTACAATTTGGCATGCTCCCTCTCATACCACTACAACAGCCCTTGTTCCTCAATTTATAGATTTTAGGTGAACAAAATAAGGAAAAATTTTCTAATCAAATTCCCAATCAAGTCATCTAATTAGGGAAATAATCAGCTCTCTAATCAATTATAATAATTCGCCATTAAAGCTTTCTAAAATAAAATTTATTTAGATTATAAGATGAGAGTGGTGAATAATCCACCAGCTTACTAAAGAGAACCGCATAGTCACCAAACTTTTCACATTGTAATAAGAAATAATTGAAATCTGCAATCATCAACCAAGGTTCATTTACCTCCACAGCGATATCCATGAGAGCGTGCAAGAGATTTTTACTCTCCAATGCAAGAATTGAAGGCATACGCCACCACAAGGAGGAAATTAATTGACTGTAGGAAAGAAACTTTCCACGGAGTAATTCATTATTGAGCATAAGCAATAGCGGGGAGACAGATTTTGGTACCATCTCATGTGATCCAAAACATTTTGCATCTGTCAGAATGACAATTATGAAAGCTATATTCATAATGAAACAAGCTATACCATCTCTTAAGCTATAAATCATGAAGATCCGGAGCTTGAATCATGTTCTTAATAAGGTTCATCAGATTTATGATCTAGAGAGTCAAGCTCAATCTGCCAGGCAAGGTTACATCATAACCGAGTGCGAGTAAAAGCTAGCTTGAACTCTTTTTATCAACTCATTTATGTACCAAAATTAAATGCATAAATATGTTTAAAAACGCAAATATTATAACTGCTAATAACCCAATTAATAAATTAAAATAGATTAAACCCAAATCTACCATCCAATTAAAATCGTCCATCTTGCCCATTACTCTTATTATACTTTTCGCCTCTTCTTTGTCTTCAGCTTCCTGCTGATGCATAGCATATTAAGACCAAAGGGAGTAGCATACCTTCATTTCTCATTTTGCTTGCACTATCACTACTAGTTTATGACTTTATTACATTTTACCATTATACAGTACTTTTTACCTCTACCTTCTGTTTTGCTTTCTTTAGCATTAGCTGAATACAAGCATAGAAAATATATTTACAGAGAGGGAGAACATATAATACACATTACTGAATTACTGGTTTACTCTTCTATTCCTTTTCTTCTTTATCTGCCCTACTTGTTTCCTATGATTTTCTACATCAGTTGGTATCAAAGTTTCGGCTCTCGACGCATGGCAGATTGCAACGAAAGGGAAACTAAGGAAGAAGATCGCAGCCTGGATGCCTTATAGTCATCTTAGATGAAGGTGATGCCAAATCAAGGAATTAACCTCAGAATTCTTTTTCTTTACTGTCAAAATGCGTAAAGAGCTCCATCATCTAAGGTGCACTTGGGGACACGTCTAGTCAACCACACTATAGCAACTACAATCATACTGACTACTCACCGTGGTCACATTACTGATCGGAATGTGAGACGGACCTCCCATTTTGTCCCAAAAATCTCGACCTCTGAAGATGAAATTGTCATTCCTACTCAATATGGCGAACTGATTTAATCTGACGTTGAAGAACATTCGGACGAGAACTATCGGTGTCATCGAACTCACATGTACAACCATAATTACAATGAATTTAAGGTCAAGCTAGACATTCCATTCTTTGACGACCGACTGCATATTGAAGATTACCTTTGTAATGCCCAAATATTAAATTTTGAAAGAATTGACTATTTTAATTTCTTAATTAACAAACCAATATTTCTATCAATTCATCAACATAAATCTATCAACATAAATCAATCCAACAGAAGCAACTAAAAAATCATCTGCATCAAAACATTTCTATAATCATTCCTTCAAATACAATTTATAATAGCCAGAAGATTTCAATAATATAAATCTATCCTTTTTAAAGCTTTCGACTATAAAAGAATAGAACAAAACACAAAAATAAAACAAAATTTGAAAGCACTGATCAACCTCACTTAGAGGATCATGACCCTTTCCAAGTCTAAAATGAATAAAAATCACATAATGAGTTTATAAAACTCAACAGGTT